CTTCTAATGCCAAGAAGTGGAGGCAGATGTTAGTCTGAAAGCTTCCATTAGGCTCCTCTTGGCTGCTGCAAAACAGTCTTACAAAAAGACCTTAGATTTTGGTTTTAAATTAGGTCAGAGATTAGATGAGGTCACAACTGCAGCGTCTGGAGCTCGGCAGCAGTTGCAGACCATGGGCAGGATGTGGAGTGATGGTTAGTAAGTGGCTGTGACAAAATGAGTGAGTTCTGTGAAAGAACCTGTTGTACACCTTTAACTGAGCTGGATATATGAGTTCAGTGTGTCCAGGGCCAGAAAAAGGTGTGTATGCCCCAGGTGCTGCCTTTGCAGTGTCTGTTTCCTGGCACAGTCACTGGATAGGACAGTGTGGCTGTATAACCTGATCTGGCAATTCTTCTCTGGGCTGTCTGTCTTATTTACCTCCAGATTTGCTGTACTAAATGCATGTGGCTTCCCCAAGCCAAAGGCCTGGTGATGCAGCCTGGTCATTCTTATGGTGAGCTCATAAAATATTCCCAAAGGTGCAATGGCGTCTGGGAATATCAGCTGCTGTGTACTGATGACCAACATGCAGCTGAAGGTTGATGCCTACCTCCACCTTCAGCAGTACAGAGACAAGCTGGGCATGTTGGGTTCACAGGGCTTTTGGGAAGGAGTGCTACAGCTCCAGCTGAAATCCTGGTAGGCTAAAGCACTCTTGGCGTGTCCTGTGGATGTGTCACAGCCTAGAGAGTGGTTTGGAGCAGAAGGGTCTATCATGGGGTGTTTCTGTAACACCACTTTTTTTTCTAGAGAACTGATTTCCCTATGTCCTATTGTGCAGATGTTCAGAGGTTATTTTGGGGGGAGGAGAGGGGAGGGTAAACAATAGTAAAGGAATAAGAAAAGTGTTTGGAAAGCAGAGATGGGAGAGAATGGAGTTCAGGAGCAGCCCAGGCACGGCTCCCTTGCAGTGACTGTGTCCTGTCCTTTGCCTCCCTCTCAGCCCTGGCCTAGGATTACTTTTAGCAGTATATATGTGACACTAAAGACACAGCATCTATCTATTCTGACCTGACCAGCGTAGACCAGGGGGTAGAAAAAAACACCTGTTTCATTTGAGTCTGTTTTACTTTCTAAAGTGTTTTTATTTCCTTGACTTTAACCTTTGGCAAAGAGGGAGGAGAACAGTTCTCAGCCAACATGGGCCTTAAACACCTCTCCACCTCCAAACCCTACCTGTCCTTAGAGCACTTGGAGGCAAAGCCACTAATTTCATCCAGAAACACACCATAGAGGTGGTGATGGAGCTGCAACTCCTCATCTGGGTACCTCACTCATTCCAGCCCTCCCTGGGCAGCGAACGTGCTATGTCCTGTTTGTGAGCAGTTTTTGAACACAGTAGGTTTTGTTCCCAAGAAATTTTCCACTTCCTGTGATCACTTAACAGTCTGCCGTCCAAATTCACCACCTGGAACCCACCTGTTTGGCAGTTTGGTTTGGAGAACACCCCTGTGTGTGTACGTGTGTATGTACCACCCTGCCTGGAGTGTCCTGCACGTGTGTGTGTGTCTGTACGTGTATGGTGTGTTCCTGCAGCCTGGGGAGGGGGAGAGAAGCCAAGCTGGAGCTGCCCCTTCCTTCATTCCCTGCATTCACACAAAGTGTCCATGATGTCTTTCCTGTGCCATTCCCACCACGCCATGCAGCACCTGAATTCCTTTCCAGTCCTGTTTTCTCCTCAGTGCAAAGAATGTCTGAATGGCTCCTGCACTGCTGAATGTACGGTGTGCCCGTTGTGCTAGAAGCCCTGAATCCCTGTTCCCCTCCCTGGATAGTCGTGTGGGCTATTTGCTTTCAAATAAGGCACTTTTAGACTATACTGGACTGTGCTGTAGTGCTTTGAAGTGTGGGTCTAGTGTTGAGTCAGGTAGATCCAGCGTAGATGCCACGAGCCCTGAAGGTGCAGCCGGGGTGACGCACCTCAGTCCTGACTTGCAAATGCCTCTTAGCAAACACCTCCTGTCCTGCCTTAACGTGCCAGGCTGTGCTGTTCGTTTGGAGCCAAACATGTCCAGCGAGAACTAGGCTGAGAGAGCAAATTCTCCTCTCTCAGAGCCGAATTTGTCAAAGCAAAAGGCTTAAATGACTGAACTCGCTGTGCTAAATAAATAGTTGTGTTTTCTCGTACTGAGCACACGCCGTTATTTGCTTGATGTTCTTCTTTGTGTGGTGTTTGTGGTATGAAGTCCTTCCAGTGACATCTCCATGGGGAGAGTGAATTAATGCTTAAAACTAACCAGATTCTGTGCTTGGGGTTTGAAGAGATCTAGATTGCTAGTTTACTCTTATGATAAATTATAGATTTGCAAAATTGAGTTTCAGACCTTTTAGCTTATCACTAAAACTACCAAATTCAATTATTACACCTGATCTCAATCTGTTTTTAAGGAATCCTACGTTTCAGTCAAACAAATATGTCATTACGCTCTCTTGGACAACTTCGTAGAAGGTTTTTGCTGCTTCTATTTTAAGAGAGATGAAATGGATTACACTTCTGCTTCCTCTTCCTACTGATTTAATACCCTGTGGATAAGTTCTGTTATTCCTAGCAGTGCTGCAAACAAATCTGGCAGCCAAAGGATAACGCAGCAGCATTTTGGGGAGGGTAAGAACACATTCCTGCAGGTGCTGTTCACCTGGGTCTCACACTTAGAGCACTGAACAGCTACTTGCCCTGAGGCACTTCTTACTGGAGTGATAAATTAAACATGGATTTGTGTCTCTGCTGCATTAAAATTTAGGGCATGATCCACTGAAAACAAGGGGAATTTTTGTGTTTGTTTCACCATGGTTTGCTCAGGCTTTTGAGGGCTTGTTGGCACCAGGGATGTGATTGCAGGTCATCATAAAATCATCTCAATTGCACATTCTTGGGAAAAATTGACACAAATATTCCTTAGTCCTTCTGCTGAGCATAGGGAAAGTCTTCTCTGAAGCAGCCATGTTCCAGCCCTGCTTAAACCAGCATCAGGACTTGTGTATGAACAACAACAGTGCACCCCCAAACCCCTGGAGCTGGTGAGGTGTGATTTCTACCTTAAAACATTCCCTGATTTTCCTGGAAATGGAGCTGGCATTTGGAATTCAGCAGCCTTGTAACTATTCTTAGAACTGGTTGAAAATAACAGTGCTGAGGATTGGAGAGGAAAATGATTCTTTGAGAAATGAACAAAAAAAAAAAAAAAGGAAGGCAACGAAAAATGTATTTGAAAGGTGAGATTCCAGGAATCTTAATCAGCTCCATGGAAAGCTTCAGGTCAGTGAAGATTCTGAGAGGGTGCAAGGAACAGAGCAGGGAAGTGGAGTGGAAAGAGCATGATTTAATTATCTTAACAGTTTTGGTAAGGATATGTTAACTTTTATATCCTATCCAATCTTCTTTTTTTTTTCCTTGGAGAGAAAAGCAAACATTACAGCTCTGATGCCATGCAAATT